CCCTGAAAACAAAGCAGGCGAAAGGCGTGGGAAAAACAAGAATGAAAGGAGAAGGAAGACGAGAGCAATTAGCATGGTTGTCCAGCCTCTTGGAAGATATATATCCACACCATTTAGTTCTCACCTTCCCTCCCTCATGACGTTCTACCCGTCTACGTATAATACCTGCAGTTATATAGCCATCCATATGTACATTTCAGCCTAAGTATCCAGCTCGCTTGTTATGCCCACACTTCAAGAGCCGCATTTGTCGTATTGTGATATGCAATCCCAAGGTAGAAATACACATATGCTGGAGGGTGGCTCCCTTCATCTCCTCCTCCTCCTCCTCCTCCTCCTCCGGCAGGAGAAGAAGACTCCACAAGAAGAAGAAGAAGAGGAAGAGGAGAAATGCTCAATCTATCATACAGCAGTGGGTGTCTTTGGCACATGATTGCTGTTGCTCCCTGTGTGTTCTATATGCCTCCCCCAGCGGGGAGACCGTCTCTGACAAAATGGTGCCTGACTCGCAGTGCAGCCAGAAATGTGTGGAAATGGATGAGACGAAATCAACCTTGCATCACAGAAATGTGTGGAAATGGATGAGACGGTTAGAATGATTTGCCTTGTCACTCACATTCTTGATGCATTGGTCCTCAACGTCAGCTTCCGGCAAATCATTGCTGCCAGTTCCTCTGCATCATAGTCTTTCCCCAGTGGTCTTCGGAAGTTAACCTCAGATTGCCAGAGTCCATCACCCTTCCGCCGCGGGATGATGTGAAAATGCATATGGAACACGACCTGACCGGCGTTAATGCCGCTATTCACGAGCAAGTTAAAAGAATCGCATCCAGTCACCTCAAGAATGGCAGTGCTCAACCTAGGAACGAGCGCGCACATTGCCGCTGCCACCTCAGCGGGTGTCGTCCTCAGGGACGAGAAATGGCCCTTCGGTATAATCAGAGCATGACCTGGTGCAAGAGGGTTCTTATCCAGGAAGCAAAGGCAAACATCATCTTCATGAAGCTTGCGGGCTCGCCTGCGACCACGCGCTATGTCACAGAACACGCAGCTGTAAACATCACGGTCAAGCATCCCATGCAGCTCCTCCCCACGCAACTTGTTTCTGATCATGATAGCCATAGACGTTTCCAATGGCACAATTTGTGCCTTCTTCCCAACAGTCATTGAACTTCCCGGTTCCACTGGAGCCGGGCATGAATTGTCCTTCTCCCTGCTGCCACTGCTGTTGTCGCTATCTTCCCCTTCTGCCCCCTTAGCGCACTCCACTTCCTCCCTCCCTCCGTCGCTTGCCATTTGGTTCGGCGTAGTACCCGACGAGCCTCCACACTTACGATCCTCGATGATGTCAGGAATGTTCTCTTGCTTATTCACCGAGCACTCTCCCAAAACTTCCTTCGCTCCCTGCTGCGTGAAGTCAGCAGCAGCTCTCTTTTCGCCCGATTCCGACCCACCTCCATGACAATCCAAAGCTGCTGACGACGTTGCCATGTTGTCTGAGTACTTCATGTTTTTTCCCATGGTCGTCAATCTGCCATCGGATCGGCTTTGCGAACGTCGACAGGTCATCAGGATGGCGCAGCTCTGCAACCTTGGTAGGCCAGTTAGCTCAGCGGCCAGCTCATGCTGATCTTCATGTCGACCTCGTCAGGCAGCATGCATTCAGTTCTGCGGGTGCCACAAATGCCATGAGGATAACATCCACCCACCCATCCATCCATCCATTCATCATTTCGGCTGGTCAGGCTGGGCTTCTCATGAGCTTATCAGCCATTACGGTGCATACAAGAGTGTGTCAAAGAAAGACCAAGAGCAGGGGTACAGAAGCAAAACAAAGGAAAAGATGTTCACAATCTGTTCATGATTATTATTGCAGCCAAAAGAAAGTACCATCACAGACGAACCAAGAGGACCATCATGTCTCCGTCTGCTGGTGACGGAAACGGTGTTGTTTGTCTTTCCACTCTTTTTGTTGAAGGCCACATGACGACAACGACAAACAATGACTAAGTGTCGTTGCAACCGACTTCCCTTCTCTCTAGAACGTGAGATTGTGTCAGTATTGCAAAATAAAAGAGGGGACATTCGATGAGCAGCTTGCCCCAAATTTATGATGAGCTGTTCAGATGGGAAAATATAAAGGTGTGCCTTTGTTGTCGTTAGGCGAACGCTGTACTCCAGCACAGCACCCTCATGTGACTGCTGAACACACTGAGTTGGCAGGCTTGCCTCTGTCAGTCACCTAGTATCCCCTTGCTTTCCGTCGAGCAGGGGAACTAAAGATGTAGTTCCACCTACTCATGCCTGCTGATAGATTCTCCTACCGTCTTCACTCGAATAGAACGCCCGGTCACTATCGCTGCATCTGGACTGCAAGTTGCTCCAAATACAGTTATCATGATTGGACATTCTATTCGGGTGACGATGGTTTATTGCCATCTTCGGCTCCTGCTGACATCTGATGCCACCACCTTTTCTCCTCTCTCTCTCTCTCTCTCTCTCTCTCTCTCTCTCTCTCTCTCTCTCTCTCTCTCTCTCTCTCTCTCTCTCTCT